TTATCCTTAACAGCAACCCAGTCTCATCAAGCTTGTCAATGGCATGCTTGGCATCGACCAATGTCACAACATTATCCTTTGTTGTCCAGCATCAAGGGTATTCCCAAGGTTATCCTCTCCGGGTTTAGGGTTTAGGTCTCAGTGGTATTTGCCATACCTAAGGGACCCACATACACTACGATCGTTATGAGAACCTCCCCAAATGGTAACCACCAAATTTGTTCTCATCTTACCGCCCAAGAAATGACTCCACAGGCAACAGGCAAGTATCTACAAAGAAGCACTGTTGCACCTGTCGATCCACTATGAAGGTCTGGACAACGGGCGCAGGATCAGCTGCACCTGTGAGCTCGATAAGTACTCCATCCAGCTGAACAGCGCCGCTGGCTACTCTTGCTCCTATCCTGGTCTGCGCTTAGAATTCAGAATTTTCGTCCCACATTTTGAAGCTTTGTCTTAATTGGCTTAAGTTTGAAGCGACCCAACTTTGTGCGGGCTAACACCATTGTCAAGGACCTTGTCCGAAATCAACAACTCTCCTACACTGAATCCGAGAAGCCTTTGCAGGCTCTGAATCAGATCACCTCGCACAGTGCAGCAAATGCATCCATTGTCCAAGAGGACCAACTCCTCTGCCATTTCAACGTGCTTCTGCTCAACCAAGGCGTCATCGATGCTGACTTCACCAATCTCATTCTCAATCACGGCAAGCTTCTTGTCATTCTGCTCCTTGCAGTTTCTCAAAATAAGGGGTCCCCAATATAGATCCCAAATACTATATAGCCCTTAATGTAAGGACCCACAAAAAAAGAAACCCCTAAATTTGGGAAACCCTAAACCCTACATATCACCCATGTATCCCCTGTATACCCCCTAACCCCTTTGAAGGTACCCGTTATTATCGGAAACCCTAAGCCCTAAACCCTACCTAATTTTGGGAAATCTTCACCTTGAGGATGTAGTTCAAGAGCGTGGTCTTTCCAGCTCCGAGATAGCCTGTGAGAATGGTGACTGGCAGTCGTGACGGGCCTCGACGAACATCGCCTTACTGGTGCTTACAAGGGGGAGTGGGGGAGTGGATCCCGATAATACGTCTTAGGGTTTAGGGTCTGGGGAGTGGATCCATATGTAATCCCCATATAATCTCCCTATATGTATCTCTATGACAGTCCCTAAATTCACTCCCCCATAAGCACCAGTAGGTCGCCATATCCATGATTGTGGCCGTGATGGTCATGCTCATCAGTCTTCTGGCGTTTGTCGGCCATGGCTCCCTGCGCCAACTGCTGTGCCAAAGTACCGGAACTGAGCCAAAGCCTGCATGCAAGTGACTCGCACCATTGGGACATGCCCTGGGCTTCTGGCTTCAAGTACTAATCCTCAAGTGAGGTTTAAAGGGTTAAGGTTAGGGGTTCAAAAGCTGGAGTGCCTCAAATCAAGAACATCTTGCTTCGGCGGTGTATAAGAGGCCGCCCCTGTTTTCGCAACACTCAAATGAGGGCCGTGCTCTTCAGGAGCGGGCCCTGCTTCGACGATGGAGATGCCTGAATCTGACTGGTACACTGCTCAGGGTTTAGGGTTGCCGTTTAGCAGGGGATCGAGGAATGGATAACAAAATGGAGAGTACACTACCAGGCAGGTTTAGGGGACGGAGGAATGCGATTCAGCGATTCTTATTGGGTATTTCCTGAGCCCTACATATATAGGAGGCGCTATGGGAGGATTTACCCAAGAACCACCAATAACCGACATGCAGGACTCCTGATCTAATGGTGAACTATGGCCTTGTGTATGGGGCCCTCATCTTGGGATCCGTCTATAGCTCATGTACACCCTGCAACACCTGTAACCCCAATGAAGGGCCCATAATTAGGTTCGGGAAACCCGTTTTAGCTAAACCCTAAACCGGGTCATATGCAGGGCCCATGGTTAGGATCGTAGACCTGACACAAGTCGGTCGACGCATTATTAATGGTTTTTTTCTCAGAAAAACTTCTGAGTCCTACATCTTGATGTCTCCGTGCCAACTAAAGTTCGGGGTGCGGTTGCGGGGGCGTGTTAGGGTGTAGGGTTGGGGGTCCCATAGCAAGGCTTAACGTAAATCACCACGTCTATGCGATGAAGGAACGTCATTTTCTGAAGCTCGGGCACCTTCCAGCCATCATCTACTTTCAAAGGCATAGTAGACATGGAAACTCATTTTGAAATCAACACGGACATGCCCTTCGAATGGGCTTATAGTCTTTATAGTTATGTCCAGCTTCTCTCAAACCCCAAACCCTGTGGCTTTTTCCTCCATAAACAGGGACACCTGTAGAGATCATTCCCCTTAACCTCAACAAGTACTACAATGGGCAATATGGGCGTATACCAGCCGCTTGCGGAAGGCCATTTGAGGACAGTTCCTGGGATGGGAAATGACCCAATCCATTCCTGGAGTTCCACCCTCAGCCCTAGATTTCCAAGGGCTGCTCCGATCCGGCTTAGCTTGACCTCGACCTGGGTCCAAGGCTTATAGGGTCTACCTGGACCCCACAAGTAAGTGAAAAATAGCCCAAAACCCCCAAACCCAAAACCCTAACACCTAAAAATAACACACAACGCCATTATTCTACATACTGTTGGGCTTCAGGTACGGCTGTGCTAATGTAGAAAGCAAATGATCTGATTTAGGGTTCAGGGCTTCGGCATGGTACCAAGATGGGGATTGCCTGAACCCCAAAAGTATGTAGAATGATGGAATTGTTGGGTATTTCTAGGGGTTGGGGGCGACTATCTTACCTCCAGGTAGGATTTAAAAAGCTTCGGGTTCGGGGATTCGGATTTGAGGTGTAGGGTTGAGGGGTAGTACCGCCAATAATGAAAGTTAATGGAACAGAAACTGGAAAATGAAATGGAAACTGTGCTTATATGGTTCACAAGGACAATCACCAAATAGACCTCAACATGATAGGGGCAACTATTTAGGCTTCTACATTCGAGTTCTCGGCTTGGTAAGGTCTATGGGGATGGGGCGGGCTACAACTTGTACAAAATCGTATCCCATTCACCACAACGGCTGCGATGATGGTTACGAGGACGGCTCCTGCTATTGCTGCTCCTGCTGCTGCTACCACCACCACATCTAGTGCTACGACTCGCACTTCCGTGGGACTGCTACAGACTGAGATGAGGCCCATGCGCGTTGACACCACAAGGCATCCTTTGCCTGAGCAGATGCAGTGGTCTCATTAGGGTTCTCAATGCGGGGCACAAGGTTTAGGAGTCAGGGAGTTTGTGAAAAGGGGAGCATTATGACTCAATGACGCACCTTTGCTTTAAACAAGAATTGAAGGCCATGCTCGGCATGATAGAAGAGATCTTTTGAACAACAAACAGCTGCAATAACACTCCCGCTGTGCTCAGCATTTTGCTACTATCGTATACTGGCCGTCATCCTCTTTTCTGAGTGGCAATAATCCTGGTCAAAAAATGACGACTAAGCCACGTAGACTGGGTTGTAACAACAGCTATCCTAAAACCATCTGTGCGGCTAAATGAATGTTCAATATAGCAGTAACATACCGTACCAACCGAAACAATGTTCCAATGACTCGGATAGCCTTACTTTACCCACATGTATGACAGCAAGCGGACACCGTAGTAAGAATCATTCTCCTTACAACCCAACCACGAGTGAGGGATCAACAAAAATCAACTAAGGTCAAACAAAACAATAGGGGGGATCAAAACTATCAAACTAAGAATCAGAAAAAATCCAACGTGACCAAGCCCTATGCAAGAGCTTCATTTCCCCAAGGACCTATGCCTGTTCGCAGCGCGGCCTGTCCTGACGATCCTGCGTGGGGAGTCCTCAGAACTGTGCTTGGAATCGACAACCCTCTCGGCATGCGGTACCTCAGGACGCTCTTGCGCGGAGCCTCCTCCTGTTCTTACACTGAATCGACAACCTTCTCAGAGTTTGCGGTGCTCTTGTGTGGAGGGTCCTCACATTTTTGCTCGCAGTCGCACCCATCTCAACAATGTTCGCGGCGCCTTCGGACGATCTGGCGTCTAGCGTCCTCCCATTCTTACGCGGAGTCGGCACCCCTCTCAATGTTCGTGGTGTATCCGGACGCTACGCGTTTCTTTTGTTTAGTTTTTTTGGCGGGGGCGTGGGGGGGAGGGGGGGGGGTCGGGCCGGGGGCCTTGAATGGAAGGACGCTTTGCTGCACTGCACGAGAGGGCGATTCTGAAGCAAAAGCCGTGATTGATGATGAAAATAATGAAAGTGATGAATTTTGAAAATATCAAAATAATGAAAAAGATGAAGCTGATGAAATATGATAGGAAGATATAGAAAGGTGATGGAAGATAATGAAAATGAAGGCACATGATGAAAATGAAGAAAACGATGA